TCCGCAGACAACTTATGCGGCCTAAAGACCCAGTACCCGTTAATCAAAAGTCCGGTGTTCTTTACCGCATCGACTGCCTTTTTGCTCAAGCCAATTATGTTGGTGAAACCGACAAACGGGTTCTCACGAGAATGCACCAGCGCGAACCCGTTGTGCGACGGGATGACAAGCTTTCTTTGGTAGCCGCTCACGCATCCATACCAGAACACGACTTCGATTTCGAACACGTGCGAATACGTTATCAGTCAGACGACCGAATCTCACACCTCTTGCAGGAGGTATGGCAATCGCACGCGGATTAAATTAGCAGGTATATCGATCTTCCTTATACCTATTTTGTGTTGCGTGGAAATAATCCATAGCAGAGCTGAAGGTCATTCCCGGCAGATTTGAGCTAAATACACAGTGAGCTGTACCTTTTTTATTCCTTGAAAATGAGCTTGCAGGAGAGTTCGAAACGTCGGGCTAATAAAATACGGGTCCCAGAGAGCGTTTTCCGCCTTCTATTCAATTACCTGGGTCTCGTATATTTTCGACTATTCAAAACCGACATTTTGAAATGACTGAAACATCCCGGGATTAGGCTGAACAAAAACGTTCGTTACAAGCCTACTTAAGTAAACAATTTTCAGCATTTACTTTAACATATCACGAGATTGCACGCCTGCTGTGAGTATGTTCTGCTGGATAAAAGCTTGCTCTCGTAGGATCTGCGTAGGCTTTTGTGTTTGATCAGGGTTTTCCAGTGTTGGCCAACAGTCCTTAAGTACTTTGGCAAACAGTAGTCTAGGCAGATAGTATTTTAGGCAAAAACAAGGGAGAATGGAATGGCCATTTCTGGCTTATTACCCGTCGTCAGCCAGCTATACCCAAACCCAAGTGCTGCCCCATTCGGGCTTCGAACTCGCGACTTTTTTGATCAGAGTAAAACTTCCTAACCATTGAGCAACGAGCTCGTTGTCTAGCCAGTTTTAGGTCAGGGGTTATTGACACTTGTTGATGAACGTTCACCTGTCCCGCTCTGCCTTGAGTCTCGCCAGAT